TAGGTTGAATAAGTGAGCTAATAGTTTAAATATCGTTGAAGCATAAGAATAGGAGTGCTCTTGCAGTTCCCTGAAGCAGGAAATGGGTGTAAGATGCTTTCGTTTTGTGTTGAAAGCCTAAAATGAATCTGGCTCATAGAAGGACAGACAGCCATACCTATGCATGGAGTTGAGCTGTTGGGCTAAAGGCATATGGCATCAAGCCTGTTGGGTTGATTAAAAATGATGAATGTTTTAAGTTTAAGATACCATGTACATTCTTTTAGAGAATAAATGTGGTGCGGGAGAATTGTCTGTATCCTGTCAATCATATTTTAATAAAATGCTGATTGGCCAGGCAGGCAGTATAGGCAGGAAAGCCAGACAGGAAGTAGGGGTGGAGCAATGAGAACAGGAGAATGCTGGGAAGAGGGCAAAGAGGCAGAAGCCATGGAGCCAGCCACCAGGTCAGACATGCTGAATCTTTCCCAGTAAGCCACACCTCATGGTGTGATACAGATTATTAGAAATGGGTTAATATCAAGATATGAGAGTTAGTCAGTAACTAACTCTCTAGAGATAATGGGCCAGGCAGTGCTTAAATGAATACAATTTGTATGTTGTTATTTCTGGGACTAAGCTAGCCGTGCGGGAGCCGGGTGAGGCGCAAAGCAGGCCTGACCGCAGCTCCTCACAACATAAATGGGTATAATTTGTTTTAGAGTCAATTGGACAAGCCAAGGTTAAGAAGAGTAAACTAGGTTAGATGGAATGTGCCATTGACAGATTGGAACTAGGGGGACAACATGTTTGTTTTGTTTTGTTTTTAAAGATTTATTTATTGTGTATACAGTGTTCTGCCTGCATGTATACCTGCACACCAGAAGAGGGCATCAGATATCATTACAGATGGTTGTGAGCCACCATGTGGGTGCTGGGAATTGAACTCAGGTCCTCTGGAAGAGCAACCAGTGCTCTTAACCTCTGAATTATCTCCCTGACCCCGTAACATGGGTTTTTGTTTGTTTGTTTAATGAAGGGGCAAACAAGATAATGGAAAGCTAGTAAGGAAACAAGAAGGAATATGAAAAGGCTAGCTCAGAGGCCACTGCAGTCACCCAGGCCGCAACTAACAGAGGTAAGATTGCTATGGAGAGGAGATGGCGTACTGCCCCCGTATGCCCTCTGCTCTCATGCTCAGCAGTAGTTGAATTCTTTGGCTCCCAATGGAAAATGACCATTGGGACACAGGTAGAACAAGTTATTAGTCAAGTCTTAATTCAGCCCTTAAGAAAACAAAATTGGAGTACTTCTTCCAGAGTGGAAGCTCACCAATCTATGTAGTGGTCTCAAAGGGCTAGTCTCCTAATAGGCAGAGGCCTTTTCAGACTCTATTCTCTCCCCCAGTTCTTTCTGATAGGTAGATGTAGTGGATGTTGGAATATGTTTAAAGATGTAACTACTCAAAGTTGAAAAGTTTACAAGGGAACAGGACAACAGTGCCTTGCAAATGCTCCTCAGGGGTTCTTTCAGAGGGTGTGAGGGGGTGCTGAGGCCACCTTTGTTGTTTTCCCTACCTTGTATTTCCTCTGGTCAGGTTAGCTTGGGTATCCCCTACCCCTCGGCAAGCCCTCTTATTTGCTCAGTGTTTTAACCCTACCGTTGCTTTCATTGGATTGGAACCAATTCAGTGGTGATGCAGGGAGCTAGACAACAATGAGAAGCATTAAGGGGAACGATGGAAAGTTGGGAGATGCTCATGGTTTTGTTAGAGTTGTCACATACACATGCCACCGCCACTGCCACCGCTACCACCATTGCCACCACCACCTACACAGTTTTTGTTTGTTTGTTTGTTTGTTTGTTTGTTTTAAGAGGAAGTTATCTCAGGTGAGGTACCAGAAGCTTTCAGTGGGATATTTTTATTTTTACATTTTTTTTTTAATTCACACTACAACAGTGGTAGTTAGTTACATTAGAACTTTGTCTTTCTATCTGGACCACCAGTCTTCACCTTTTAGGCAAGAAAAGGGATTGATTGTACCTTACCTGGTGTTGTTCTTATTGTCCTGCTGTAGTAATACAATTCTGATTCACCTACCTCCCCCTCCTGGAAGTCATGCAGCAATCCGAAGCTGCACCACTGTCAGGTCTCCTCCTGGGTTTTCCCTGAGATGCACCAAGCTGACTGAGCATGTGCCCACCTGTCCTGTTTGCACATATTCTCACAGTGCTTCTACAAAATGGAGTTGTGGGATCCTGGCCCTTTCCTTTCTCCAAAAAGGAGAGACCGGAGCATGGCTTTAACGGTTGTGATGAAAGTTCGGATTGTGGCACCTTTCTGACTTGGGAAGTCAGCCTGTGTCTCCTGTGTGCACTCTGCCAACATCAATTATACCACATCAGTGTTGACTGCTGATGTAAACCTGAACCCAGGGAACTTGAGGCTAAGGGAGGATGAGAAGCCAAGTTTTAACTTCATCCCAGGATGCTGAGTCTGGGAGCTACAGATCCTACATCAACTCATTGCTAGTCAAATTAGCGGAATGATGCAAACCTAGTAGATATTTAATGAGAGATTATTTCTGGAGATTATAAGGATACAGAAATTGCAAATAAATCCCTGACCTTTTCTGAGCCTTGGCTCAGTGAATGGGCTGAATCACCTGCTTGAGGGGATTAAGGACAGCCGCTTCCATCTGGCGGGCTACTTTCTCAGTCATTGGCAAACTCTGCTCCATGGTGATAGTGTTTCAGACCTTTTAGTGGGAATTCACTTTGCAGACTAGATCTCAATTGCTTAATTAGGAACCCAGTGGGCAAAAGTAAGAACTAATATTCTGCTTATGTATACAGTGGGGTCCCTGCCGCCTTAGTGATACCTAGTCCAAAGTTAAATACTATGTGGTTGTTAATTATTGATAACAGAGTCATGATGTCAGCAGGGAGCTCAAGTTGATGAGACTAGATATCAGTCTCTCTCTGTGTGTGTGTCCCCTCACATGTGTTAAGGAAAGAGACAGAGGACCAAGAGACAGATGGATAAAAGCAGCAAAGTGGTGATGCAAAAACTTGTATCCCTTCTAGTTTAGAGAGTTAGAACAATGGTTGCTGAAGTTTATTTCCTGAACTCTTGGAAGTCTTTTTTACAAAACTAGGTAGGTAAGACAATACACAACTGTAATAAACTAGGCTTAACAGGGTTAACCTGAGCTCCTGTTTGGCTCCACAGCATGGAAATACTATGTACATTTGACAACTAAGCTATACTGATTAAATACAGCGTTACCTGTAAGGTAACTGTAAGACAATTTTCTTTAACATCAGTATAAGGGGGTTTGCTTGCTTTTAACAAATGAGGGAAATTGCACCAGTATAGGGAAAACTAATCTGAACATTGAGTTTTTGTGCATGGGGGGATCTTTGACATTTTCAAAAGCATTATATTTAATGTAAGTTGGTAGAATTTAATTTTTTCTGGATATATCTGGAAAGTTCCATTGTGTTTTCTTTCTTCCATGTGCCACTTGCCTAGCAATGACTTTCACTTCCTACTTGGCCTGGTAGGTTATCTAAGCACTGGGGCCTTCTCTCTCCGTTGCCAAGTTCTTTTCAATTTTCCAAAACGTTTGTTGTTTTTGAGGTAAGGAAGTGGTTTTTGTCCAAGATGAAGTTCTCCTATGTTAAAAAGAAAACTGTGATCACAAGCCTGTCCTTCAAACATCCACGTTCAGACCCTGTTTCCACAGCGCTCAGCAGTCAGTGCACAACGGCAGTTCTTTTCCCCGGACTCCTAACCACATGTCTTTGGAAAGATACTCCAAAGCGCTTCCAAAAAAACAAAGTAAAGGCTTCCGGTAACTACAGAATAACAGTTACAAAGACTTTGGAAAATTCCTTAAGCACAGAAAGATAATTCCCTGCCTGACATGTGCGTTCCCAGTGGCTGTGTTCTGAGTACTTCATGTAAGAATGAGAATTGTCCCCCTGCACACAAAAAGATGCCTGGTGTCCTTAGTCATCTGATGCAGAGCAAAACCACAGCAAGAAAACTCTGATACCACCGGGATGGCTAGGATGAAAAGAACAATAGTGAATGCCAACAGGGATGTCCAAGGAGATCAAAATTCATTCCTACAGGCTATGCGCACTGTATTGCTGGATCCCCAAAGCTTGGGCTGAGGTTCTGTGGATGGCCATGCTCTTTATTGTTACAGTTTCCCCCAGGCAAAATTGTTCCTGTGGGTTGTTTCATTTTCTGAGTGGTGCTGGTAGGTGTTGGAAGAGATTGAGGACCCTTTGCCCCTGCTGATGGGCTATGAAGAGGGGCTCTACTGTTTCTAGGGCTCAGGTAGCATCTTTGTCCTCAGCTGTTTCAATGTTCATCTGGGTCACCTTTCTTTCCTTCATTTACCCCCTGATTTCCCACTTTTTCTAGTCACCAGAACAGAATGACACTTTAATCCAAAGTCATATTTAAAGCAGTTTGCTGATCTGGCCCCCGGAGCAAGTCTCCACATGTTAACTTGGCAACTTTAGTCATATTTTGCTTTTTCAAGCCTCAGTTTTTTTTTTCCATCTGTAACACAGAGCTAATAATACTATCATTCCAGGCGATTTGCTGGAGTTACAAGACATAATCTAGGTAAAGCACTTAACTGGTTTGTTTTAAAGCACTTCACGTTTGCTTTATGGAGCAGACTGTGAGCAGTTATTCCTGTGCCCCAACTGGAGGTGTCCGCCACTCTGCCATTTCTCGTTAGAAACTGAGACTAGTGCCAAAGTTACTGTGAGAACTAAGATAATACACACAGAACACTTAGCATGTATGTGGCATGTGGTAGGTCCTCTATCTGTACCACCTGCTTTTAAACTGTTATTTTACTTCTACTTATTTGTCCTTACATAGGGAAGGGGAGAGAGCCTGTGGCCACACCATGTGGTTGGCTTCCAGTGTGTAAACCTTGCAGTGAGTTGATTTGCACAAGCAGGGCCTGACTGCGCTTCTCTTGTTCTTTCAGCCGCACAGTTGGACAGCATCGGCTTCAGCATAATAAGGAAATGCATCCATGCGGTGGAAACCAGAGGTAAAGTAGTCTAACAGATGGCGTTGTTCTCATGGAAAGGGAGGCAGCAGACATGATTTTAAGTAACTCATTAACTCTTCTGGTGCCACTGTGGGTGTTTCTACAGGTCACATTGGTCTGAAGCAGGGGTTGTCCACCCATTTCACGTCACCTTTGTCTCTGGTTGATCATGAAAATGTCTTACATGTATCCAAATAGAATTCTTAGGCATATGAAAACCCATTCTAAAACTCAATTGTTATTAAAATAATTGAAAATATAGCTGCAACAGACTGGTAGATATGCTTCTGCATTAATAAGTTCTTTAATAACTTATAGTTGTGGGTCTCATAACTGGCATAATCTGGTAGTTGCAATATTGTAAGCCTTCTTTACCATTGTAAGAAATTAGGAAAAATATCTGTGATTATGCACATTGTTGCAGGTACTGTGAATACCACTGTGATTTGTTGTCTCCATTCATATGGGAAGGAAGTGTGCAAAGTCAGTGACAGTGAACATAAAGGCTGCTTTCCCATTCAGTTCATAAACCCCTGGACTTTCCAGGCATTTGTTTAGAATCTGTGGACCCCAAGTGAGAGATCTTGATCTGCAGACCTTGACCGGAGAACCATCGAGGACAGAGAAGGAAGGGCTAGCTGCCTGCTCCACATTGACATTTCCCAGGTCTATTGGGACAGGGCGTTGAGATGGGGAGGCTGGTTCACTGCAGTCTCTCACAAGTCAGGGCATTGTAGAGTTTTAAGCGCCCTGGTCCTTTGTAGCTCTGAGGAAAGCTGTTAGCCTTCTCTCCACTGAGACTGATCAGAGCCATTGTCAGAGATTGAGTCTATTTATTCTTCAGCTTTCTACCTGCTTGTTATTTTTATTGGTTTGAAAGAAATTCTGTCTTTTAAAGCAGAATTGTAACCTTACTAGTGGGGAAATAGAAAGGGATAGGGCCTGGGAGTAACAAAACTTCTTGAGTTCTTGTGCTTATGTGTTCTATAGGTTTCTCTTTCCAAAGAAGTTACCTTAGCATATAAAATCAGGGTTTTGTTTTTGTTTCTAATGTTTGATTATTTCTCCTTGACCCCCTTCAGCAAAATAGTAACTTAGGTTGGTAATAGTACATAAGATATACTAGAAAATGTCAAATAGACATAATTGGAAATTGAACTTGGAAAATAAGGATGTTGGTCATGTTGAACAAAAAGAATGTTTATACAGTGATGTGGTTAAAATACAATATCAGGAACCAATCAAATGCCTCAAAAATTGGTTAAATCAAGGGTGATTCACTTGTGCAGTAAAATATTGAGAATTACTAAAAATAGAAATATGCTTTTTAGGGATGAGGAGTGGATATGGAAGGACTAGTAGGTGAGCGGTAATGGGTGCATGATGTGAAATTCCCAAAGATTCAATAAAGAATTGTATTTGAAACAAACAAGCAAACAAACAACAACAACAAAAATAGGTTTTGTAACAGCCTATATTTAGGACATTAAGTGAAAAATGCAATTTACAAACTAGCTGGCCTGCTTGAGCCTGTCCCGTGGTGCCCACTGAGAGGGCATCCTTTGCATAGATCTCAATGTGACGCTTATGGCTCTTTGCTTTCTTTTACTTTCTTCTTTCGGTTTTCTATGTGCCTGAGCTATAATCCATAAGTTTCTAATGAGTTTATAGTTCTAAGGTAATTTCAAAGAGTTTACGTTTGCTTTTTATTTTAAAAGAGAAGGATACAACCAGTGTGTTAGTCTATAATGCTACTGCTCAGAGGGCTGAGAGATTAGAGAGTTGGGAGTTAAAGATCAGCCTGGGTTACAGAGTGAGGCACTAACTCAGAAAAGTCAAAAATAAGGAATGGGAGAAGAATAAGGAGAACAGCTGTGAATAATAAAGGCAGAATCATACATACAAGAAGTATACCTGCTCAAGGCGGGCTGTGTGCTCATCCATTTTTAGCCCCCAAGGCAAGAGGGAAGCCTAGTCACTTAAAATTCTTGTCAGAGTCTGGTATCCCTGTAACCCAGTAGCTTGAAAGCCTCGTATGCACCATAAGAAGTTAAGAATGTGCCAGACAGTGGTGACATACACTCTAATCCAGCACTCGGGAGGCAGAGGCAGGCAGATTTTGAGTTTGAGGCCAGCTTGGTGTACAAGAACTATTCCCAGAACAGACTCCAAAGCTACAGAGAAACCCTATCTCAAAAAACAAAAACAAAACAAAACAAAAAACAGAAAAAGAAGTTAGGAATATGATATACACTTAAGAATCCATTGGAAGATACTAAGAGAAGTGATATGAACTCACTTTCACAGTAACAAGTTCACAAGGGAACTGGAGAGGAATGCCCTAGTTCGTGAACAGTTCTAGATATGATGGACTGGGGACAGCAAGAGAAACGCCATTTTTAATCTCAATTTAATTTTAATTTAGACTTAGTCTAAATGATCTCCTGTTAGAACTGAGGAGACAGAGTGTCGGTAAAGCAAGAAGTTTTAAGTTTGATCCCAACCCTCTCGCCTTCTCTCAGAAGATCCCTGGGACTCACTGGCCACCCAGCGAACCTGAGTTGGTGATCTCTAGGTCAATGAGTGACCCTGTTTCAAAGGAGGCGGATGACATTCCCTAGGATGAGATCCCAGGTTGTCCTCTGGCTGCCGTTTGCATGTGCGTGCATGTAGACGCACACACATGACCAGGCACAGACATTCGCATACATGCAAACTGTCTTCTTTTGTAAGTGGTACATTGGTTCAGTCCTTGGGTTTTAGTGAACAGAAGTTCTGTAGTTTGAAATTCTGTCTTTGTTTCAGTATTTCAAAATAAACACCTTTGCTCTGTGATGAATTTTCTGATTTCTCAGTCCGAACTAGTATTCCCTAAGATGGAAAATGTTTCCACACTTCAGTATTTTTATGTTGTGTATAAAAATAGAAAGTCATTTATCTTCTGTGAGTGATTTTTTTTAACATCATGTCATTTTGAATTTTTAAATGTAAGAATTGGTTAACTTTGATGTCTTTATAATAACGTATTTTGCATCTTTAAAAGTCTTTATCTACTGCCTTTGGCAAGGGACGGGGGCCGTATCTTTCCTGCTGATGACCGAGCTAAAGTGAGGCCTGGAGTGTGCAGCACGTCCGTGAACCCTAGACAGCTGCGCCAAATCCCACTCCTTTGCTAAGAGCAGAGCTGAGTGACAGGAAACTTTAATTACAGCAGCTTTTAGAAGGACAGAGAAAATGAAGGAAAAACAGAAGAGCATTTGGCCTTGTTGGCCTGACTCGTGTTCCAGTGTTCATCTAATTAAATCTTTTCTCTACTCAGGGATCAACGAGCAAGGACTCTACCGAATCGTGGGGGTCAACTCCAGGGTGCAGAAGTTGCTGAGTGTCTTGATGGGTGAGTACAGCAGGGACTTTGCCAGGCAGGTTTCCAGCTTCCTAGGTAGCCTCTGCGGTAGGAATCAGGATATGCTGATGCCCAGAAATCTGTCGTGCTTGCTAGTGGTGGCTGTGGGCCTTTGCAAGTTTGAAATGAAATGGCAGAACTGAACAACAGCCCCAGTCTTCAGACTCAGCACCTCAGTCCTAGTGCTGCTTGGTCATTCATGTGACCGCCACACCCTACTCTGTCTTTAATAGCTCATGACTCCTTCTGCCCTCTTTTGAGGCAGGTATTCAATAGGACACACCCAACGCCCAAGAAAGGACATCTTTCAAGCCTGGAGGATCTCGGGGCCTCATGTGCCTCATACTGAGGGTGTCATGTAACTCTCAGATAAAATGTTTGTGTATGCAGATAAAACTCAAGATCCCCTTTGCTTCTAGACTTCAAGCCGTCACTTGAGCAGTAGAGGCTCCTCTGTCCCTGGCTGATGTATAAATAGAAAGCCACTACCTCCAAATGTGCAGTGTTTGAATCAAAATCCATGAGCCAAAGTTGCCTAGGCTGCAGATATCCTGTATTTTTAGCTATGCAGCCAGCTTCAGTGAGTCACATGAATCTAAATGGCAAACAGATCAAATTTCATAGATCCGTGGCTGTTGCCCATGTCCACAAAAACCTGAGCATGGTACTTGTGAAGATTAACTCTCATTCAGGCCTCTAACTTGGTGTTACAGGCACTGGCCTTTCTCTTGTGTTTGTCCCTTCTTTTGTCATTCCAGCATCTGAAAATAGCCTTTATATGTGCAGAAGTCTATTCTTTTATATGAGCCAGAGGGAGCCGCTCACTACTGTGCTCAAAATCTCCACAGTGTAATGACTTACACCGAGACCTGCTGTTTGAAACCATGGTATCTGGGAGGCAAATCTACACTTAGTTTTTGCTTTTCAGTTCAGATTTGGGGTACAGTTAGTTCTTCATTATTATTATTATTATTATTATTATTATTATTATTATATAATTGCAAGATACACATGCATTGTACAAAAACAACAGTAATGGATCTTTCGTATCCTTTCCCCAGTTTTCTCCAATGATAGCATCATACCAGTCTGCATTTCAGTACCATAACCAAGATAGTGGCATTTCTACAGTCAAAATGCAGAGCATTTCCACCCCCATAATGGTCTTGTGATACCCCTTTATGTCTACTCCTTGCCTCACCTCCTCACACAGTCCCTAACCTTGGTGACCAGAAGTCTATTCTTTTTTTCCTTTTAATTTATGACCTGGAAATTACTTGTTATACAAATAGATTAATGAAATATTTAAGTTTTTAGGATTGAGTCTCTTTTTGTGAGCCTAATTATTTTCAGATTTGATCAACTTATCTGTATCATTACTTGCTCATTTCTTTTTAGCTACTGAGTAATATTTTATTTTACAGGCATACCACAGTTTAGCCCTTCACTGGCTGCAGGTCTTCTGGGTTATTTCCACTTTTGGGTTCTAATGAATAAAGCTGCTATAGGTACTGGAATAAAGAATTTTTGTGAGAGCGTATGTTTGTTCTCAGATAAGTGCCCAAGAGGGATATTTTTGGGCCAAATGTTGATATAGTTTAATTTTGAGAAATGCCAATGTAAGGAAGAATTAAGAGTTTAATAGATGTAAACACCTAGTTGTATATTCTGCAGCAGCTATTGCGACCTGGATCTGGAGATGGAGTGGAGGAGGAAAGAGAAGAATTTGGACTGAGCAAATCTGAGCCACAGCATGGCCAGAGCCTGTTGATGTTGTGGGATTATTCCTTATTATCTGAGAGAGCTACTTGAGGCTGAAAGAGGCAGTTAGCGCCAAACAGCTAAGGGTGTCTTTTCTCAGTCCAATGCTGAGGAGTTGAGGAACTTCTCTTTTTAATTTCTCAAATGAATTAAGAATTAAAAGTTCTAAGTGGTACATGCATCATGTCAAGAGTCAGGAACTGATTCAGAATAGTTCACAGAAGAAATGGATTTTCTTAGGTAGCTAGACCAACTTTGGTGCCATCCTCACTCTGAGCTCTTTCCCTTCTTTCTTCTAGTTTCTCATTATCCATGTCCTCTGCTGGCCTCGGCTTTGGCTTTGCTCCCTCTGGGAGTGTCCCCCATAGAATCAGGCCTTGCAGTCCTTGGAGCTTGCATCATTCAGAAGAGTGTCTTTCGGGTGACAATTTTGGCAGAAGGCCGCAGAGAGGACTTTGATTGGCTAGTGTGGGCCATTCACATGATAAAGTTTTCATTTTGGAGCCAACCCCATTATCCTCAGCAGATGGACATAAATGAGCCCATGCCTGTGTCTGGGTCCGCGGGTAGAGATGATGTTAGGTTCATGAACCTGTGGACCGAGCAGTCTCATTGGTGAGAAAATGGAGGGGTGCTTTCGTGAAGTAATGATTGCTACTAAATTAATGAAATGCTTCTGACACAACAGTAGCACGATTAGACTCTAGCATTAGGTGAACGTGACAGAATGTGGAATATGTGTGTAATCATGGAAGAGTTCTGGAAGATGTCAATGGGTGAGGCGAGAATATCTAGGTATAAATATCATCTAGGTATAAAGAGCTGGGGCTCAGCATCCAATATTGTATATAGAGACGAACAGAATTCAAAGATGACAGTGTGAGGCGACACTATTGAAAAGAATCACAGTGTTTTAGAAGGCTGCCAGTCTTCTAAAGAGATGCTCTAAGAGGCAGCTGATACCCACGGCTCTCAGCAGCCCTTTCACATGGTGCTGGTCTTGCTATCTTCCTTAGCTGACCTAGGTATAGAGGAAGGTGATCGTGACCATCTTAATGTTATGAAAGGTTAATAACTAGCAACTGACAGTCACAAGACCAGCCGCCTCTGCCATGAAAACATTCCAGATAAACCAGAATCTAAACAATCCCACCAGTGGTAAAGCTGTCCAGATATAACCTGTAACCCAATGCCGAGAATGGGACCCACGAGTCTCCCTATCAGCATTGGAATCTTGTACCCTTGCAGTCATCGGGTCAGTGCACTGGGTCCAAGTCTGTCTCCCTTTATATCCTCTTCATCAGTGCTGGGTTCTGCTCCTGGTGGGCTAGCCAGTGGTCTAGAATAAATTGTGCTTGCAGCCAGAAACCCTTCAGGGCTCGTGTAAACTGCCATGCACTGTCTCCTCTGATCTTGCCTTTTTTATACCCAGCTACCTGCAGATACAATATAAAATTGCTTCTGCTTGTTCCAAAGGTCTCCTAAGTGGACTTGTGTGTTTTCGTTACAATGAATATGGCTTAGGAGTAAAACCAAACACTGATTTTGATCACTAGTTCTTTTTCTGTATTCTTTTTATTTTAATGTGACCCGTGAAGAGGTGTACTAAACTTAAAAGAACCACTTGCTTTCTAATTCTTTTTTTTTCAAATTTATTTATTTATTTGTTTATAAAAATTTCCACTTCCTCCCCTCCTCTCCATACCCTCCCATTCCCCCCACTCTTTCTCCTCCTCTCCCCCCACTCCCTCTTCTCCTTCCTCTCCAGTCCTAAGAGCAGTCAGAGTTTCCTGCCCTGTGGGAAGTTCAAGTTCCTCCCCTCTCCCTCCAGGTCTAGGAAGGTGAGCATCCAACCAAACTAGGATCCCAAAAAGCCAGTACATGCAGACAAAACAAGACCCAGTGCCATTGTCAATGGCTTCTCAGTCAGCCCCCATGTCAGCCACATTCAGAGACTCCTGTTTGATCACATGTTCATTCAGTCCCAGTCCAGCTGGTCTTGGTGAGCTCTCATTCGATCAGTCCCCTTGTATCAGAGGGTGAACGCACCCCTCACAGTCCTGATTTCTTTTTTCCTGGTCTCCCTCCTTCTGCTCCTCATTTGGACCTTGGGGGCTCAGTCCACTGCTCCAATGTGGGTTTCCGTCTCTGTCTCCATCTATCGTCAGATGAAGGTTCCCTCTGGTCCTGCCTTTCTTGCTCACGTTCTCCCTCCTTCTGCTTCTCATTTGGACCTAGGGAGTTAAGTCCAGTGTTCCAATATGTGTCTCTGTCTCTCTCTCCATTCATCGCCAGATGAAGGTTCTATGGTGATATGCAAAATATTCATCAGTATTGTTATGGGCCAAGGCCAGTTCAGGCACACTCTTCTCTGCTGCCCAGGGAACAATCTGGGGATCTCTCCTTGGGCCTGGGAACCCCTCTAGAATCAAGTCTCTTGCAAACCCTAAAATGGTTCCCTTAGTTGAGATATATACTTCCCTGCTCCCATATCCATCCTTCCTCCCTCCCCCCATCCCATTCCCCCAAGCCATCCCCAATCCTCCCCCTCTCCCTTCTCTCTAACCATCTCCCCTTACTTCCACCCCTCCACCCCCCGTGTACACAAGTTTGTCTGGCAATCTTGTCTACTTCCAATACCCAGGAGGGTAACCATATGATTTTCTTCAGGTTCACCTTCTTATTTAGCTTTTCTAGGATCATGAATTATAGGCTCCAAGACCTTTAACTATGGCTAGAATCCACTTATGATTCTATGAGTGAGTACATACCATATTTCTCTTTTTGGGTCTGGGTTACCTCACTCAGTAAAGCGTTTTCTATTTCCATCCATTTTCATGCAAAATTCAAGATGTCATTGTTTTTAACCGCTGAGTAAAACTCTAATGTGTATATGTTCCACACCTTTTTTAACCATTCTCCTATTGAGGGGCACCTAGGTTGTTTCTATGTTCTGGCTATTACAAATAGTGCTGCTATGAACATAGTTGAACAAATGCTTTTTAGTATGATAGGGCATCTCTTGGGTATATTCCCAAGAGTGGAATTGCTCGGTCCTGAGGGAGGTTGACTCCCAGTTTCCTGAGAAACCGCCACACTGATTTCCACAGTGGCTGCACAAGCTTGCATTCCCACCAACAATGGATGAGTGTTCCCCTCACTGCACATCCTCTCCAGCATAGGCTATCATTGGTGTTTTTGAGTTTGACTATTCTGACAGGTGTAAGATG